TAGGTTTTACATCACTTTTCGGTATTTTGAATAACCCAACGTAGGTCATATCTGAATTTTTTTATATTAGTATATTCATACTCTCCCAGCCCCGGTAATTCTGCTCACGTATCAGCCATATTTCACACATAAAAGGTTTCCCCATACATTGGCCGTTAAAACTTGATACATATTTTCAGAATTAAGTTGAATTTATTTATGTTTATTCCGTCTTTATAGAAATTAGTGTCCTAGTTTATTCATTTGCCTATTTATTCAAAATCTCAGAGAATTATATCCTGATTTGTTTATTTGATGTTTTTTCCTACTATTTCTACTACTACTACTTCTTTTTACAGCATACAAACAATCATATTTCTCATATTCGTTTAGTAATATGTCACATTGCTGATGAGCACAACTGATAACATCAACTAATGAAAGTGTTTGAGGTTATATCAACCAGTGTACTGCTCCAAATGCGTAGTAGTTGTCTGCGCACTTTTGTTATGATATTATTTAGAACAGTTGCTACAAAATTTAGCACTAAATTTGTTCATACAAAATTATGTACTAAATGCTGCTGACACTATCCTTAATTTTGTACGAAATTTAGCACAAGATTTTTTACGGTACTTAGCACAGAGAGCCTTACCATATTAAACTGTCCGGTATACGTTAATCATGCAATAATCCCCAAATAAGAAGCTATGGTATGTACAAAATCGGCCATCAGTGTGGTGTGTTAGGCGGTGTAGGAAACGACGAAAGATCATTCTAGAGATCAGTACCAAGAAGAGTCATAATATGTGAATATTCAATCCACATAACAGAATGATTCATGAAGTTCGCTGGTATTTCATACATCACAGCTTCTGGCGCACCGTCGTCGCACACATATCCACGCACGGGCCGAGTTGTAGATTAGAAAGGGGCCCCTGAGCCCCTGACTAGTGACGTAACGTCGCCGTACACGAAATTCGCACTCAGCTGACACCGGCTGGCTATTGACCTCTATAAATATTCAAACACCCTGAACCTTGACGACTATTAGCTTTTTCTGGCAAGTATGAGATACTGCTAATTACATGAAAAATGCATGTTATGATTGAAATGGTTTTGGTGTTGTATTTAGGGGATTATGTGTTTTCATTCATAGCGTCAGTCATTTACAAATTCTTGGTTATAGATACAGATTTGGTTTTGCCTACAGTTTAGTCGAAACTAATGAAGATTTTTATTATAATTTAAAGGCATATGGTATGTATAACTGCTCCACGACGATTCGTCCAAAGCCTTGTTTCTGGATTCAAATATGACTACTACTGATTTTCTGTCGACTAATTCGACGATAGTTGAAATTTTTAGATTGAAATATGCTAGTTTTCGGCTTTTATGCCGAAGGTTTTTATCCTACAAATGGAAGCTTTGTTTGTTTCGGAATCGTACAATTCTTTCAGAGCATCCTCAAGTTTTCAATGAAGATTTCGTTAGTTTTAGGATCATTTCAAGGATACTTGATTTTCAAAAGGAATATTTGTTCTTGTTCCACGGGAATCCATCCTAGGACCCCTTTTTGACTCAGAACTAAGCTCTGGATTTTCCTGGCATAACAGAGATTTCTTATACGGAAAATCAAAAACCATGTTTTATCCCCTGGTTTCACCCAATTTAACAACAACCTTGTCACTAATATTTATGGGTGAATTTCATTCAGATAATTGGTTGCCTTGCCATTGCGTCAAATTATACATTTTCCTGTATGGGGCTCAATTTAGGAGCGAAAATAACAATGAAAAGTTCACTTATTCTATTGTTAGATCAAGATTTTATAGCAAATAAGATAACTCTCAATCGAGCTCTCAATATTTAATGATATGTTTTGTTAGTGAGACGAATCAGCCACACGTCAGCCTTCAGGCTTAACTGTAGCATCTAACACATATTGGAATTTTCAGCATCCAAGCTAAGACATTGAAAAATGACTTAATACATTTCAGTAATTTAGAATTTTGTTATTGGACAAGCGTTACATACAAATATTTTATGAAATATTGCTCAAAACTATCTCTGATCTATTTCAGGTCGTAAGTAGAGCAAACATTTTCATAATGTTATCATTACCTGAAAGTCGCTGAATCAGATGCGACACACACTTAGGAAATAAGTAAATTTAAATACATGTTGGTTTTTTAAATAGTTTAAATGTTTGTACGAACGTGTTCTGTATACGATAACATTCTTTCTGGGCTTTGGTTTCGACCACTGAATCTGGAATGCTGATTTCCGCACCAGTTAAACATAGTCGAAACGAGATTAAAAAAAGTCTATTAGCAAAATCGCCTAGTGTATTTGTTTGAAACGCACGTCTAAGTATCAAAAGTCCGGGCAAAGATTGTACATCTCAAAGAAAACGCAGGTTTGACAGAATTTCAACTCGGGAACAGCATTTTCTGAATACGGATCCCACTGATTTGAATAGGTACACTTGTTCTGCATTGTTTGGCATAAAATCGTATAAAATTGTATACATCCATAGCAGAATAAATTCGACTAAATCAAATGAAGCAATTCCAGATTCAAGGTGTCCAATACAGATATAAAAACCCAGTCAGACTCTTTATCTAGGTGTTAACTATCAAATTATTTTTCAATTGCTTCTTTGGATAGATGTAGGTACTTGCAGGTAGTTTTGGAAGCTATTATAAAATATGAAGGTGGTGAACGCGGTAAAGTTTCTGGAAACTATCATTAAGTGTTCTGTGACTTATCCGATTTTTATCTTCATTTGTCAATTGATAATAAGAGGAAAGTTGGTGCCCCAATTGTATACAAATAATTTGAGATAATCATCTTAAATCTTGGTGTATACACCAAAATATCGCTAAGAACATCTACTTTGCTTCACCGTACTTGGATTGAATAACAGTCATTCTCGATCAAAGAAAGGGACTAACATTCACAAACACTCTGTATATAAAGGAACTGTCGATATTCGTTGTTTCTTTGGTTGTTACTTTAAAATTATCAGCCTTGTTATAGCCTATTATTCATCGAACAACATATGCTATAGCCACATATTTGAAGCTCAAAAGAACGTGTCAGCTACACTCGTAAAGATGGGCAAGGTGTATATCTACAACCACCATTATGTGACTATGTTATAACCATCATTTATAACTATCATTAGCAAAGTAAGTATGCATAAACGTTTAATACCAACGTACGACTCTTATACATACTCAGACTGATATGTCGATAAGCTGTTGGTAGGTACTGCTTTTCTTGATAACTTATCGAACACGTATCTCAGATGCCGCTCTGCTACAGATATCGCTGGATTTTTTAAATTTTAAATGCCTGTAGAATATAAATAGCGAGGAGAGTATGTCTGTGAAACTAATATAGATTTAAATGGCTAGATTTATGCTCAAATTGATTCTAGACGTGGTCAAAAGTACGATAATAATATTTAATATAAATATGATAAATTCATATCCGTTGAAGATACCTAAATAACCAAAATACTGTTAATGCTCACTGATTTTGCAGACCTAGCCTTGGGAAAATGACCAAAAATAAAAATATTTATGGTACTCGGTCTCCACAATTTCCGGACTATAGTTTTATTCTTGAAGAATAGACGTTCGAATCTTCTGTAGTCTCTATTATTTGAGCAAACAGATAGTCTATTTGTTTTGGTGATTACTACATGATGAGGGAACCAATGTTATCTTAAAAGCGAAAGCTTCAATTTACGTAATTCAGCTGTACTTTTGGTTTTCGTTAATTCCATTGATAGTTACACCCTTGAGAACAGATATGGGATATATGACAAGACTGTAAGCTATAGTTTTTCTGCACGCAAGTCCATTTTCATATATGTCGGATATCTTTATCTCTTTATGTAACTTGAGCAAGAAACCGTCAATTTTTAACTAGACAAGCACAATAAAAATATAAGGTTGCTTTAAATAGTTAGTTTTAGATGAAGTTCACATTTTTTGCTTCGTTAAATTGTACAGATCTCACATGAATTTGATAGGCAAATACAGATTCTGAGTATGCTTTTAAAATAATTCTGAAGGGATACAAAATAGAGAGGTAATGTGAACTTCAAATTATTTATCCTTGTAGGGATTCTTATTCTATGTACCATCTATTGATAACTGAGTGAAGTGAAAACAGTTTTCGTCTCGGTTTTCTACACCTGAAATGTCACGAACCTTGCAGATAATTAAACGACAACAAAGGCGCTAAGTCGGATTGACATCAAGCCAGACCTACATTAGACAACTAGTTTTATATACCGTGAAGTGGAGCCACTCTTATATAATTCAGTGCGGTGATACTAGTTATGCCTTACAGATTGAGTTGTGCATGATACTAGACTGTGTCACGTAAAAGTCTCAGTGGGCATAAATGATCTGCAAAGCGATCTGGTTTCATACAAATGATGTCACTGACGAAACCGACTACTTCACAGCAAAAATGTCAAAGTAATATCAATGTGACAATGGTATTGTGATCCTGACTCCGTCAAAGTTGACAAAGAACGGATCTTATGTTTTGCTATGAAATGAGCCGGTACAGAAGAAACAAGTACCTATACAAAACGATATCTAAGGCATCTGACAGTCGGCTCCATGCAGTCGAATATTCTCACAATTTCATCAATTTTTATGAATGACAAATAGTTTTCATTTAGGAATTTGATTTAGTGAAGACTAGGTACTGTTTTGTATATTATCACATTCAAAAATCTAATCCCTCGGAACTGCTAAAGTATTAAAGGCAAATGTCACAGGATTAGTATTTCCTCCTGTAATTTATCAGTATTACAGTATTTATGATGAAATGGTATGTTTGTTGACCGTGTGTCACTAAAAATGCTGGTGGTACTGACCACAATATATACTGGTCGCGTGACATTTGCTAGAACCTGTCTGTAGGGAAGATAAGAAAATAAAAAATAAACGTTTAAGGCCCCGAATAAATACAAAATTTAAAAGCTGACTTACCTCCATCATCCATTCGGATACAATTTTCCTCATTTCATACGTAACCTCCTTCTGATTGGCGAAACTACACGGATACGGCAAGACATACCTATCCTCCGTCTTGAGGAGGTTTTTGAGCACTCTATCTTGCAGCAAGGTTGGATCATCGTAAGCTCTTGACTCGTTCTCTGTCACTTCGCAACAGTACAAGTCCATGATCTCCGTGTGACGACAAGTTCAGCTAAATCCACTGACTGACACTTCACTACTACTACACTTGGCCCCAACAGCTCATGAATTGCGTGCTCAACTTAGTGCTCCGAGTTATGTCTGTCCTGTACGGGAGTCTGAGGAGCAGTACTTCCATTCAGTGAGTCATTCAGGATGATAGCCGAGTCGCATTTCGGCGCGTACAATGTTGCCGGATCAGCGTCGAGAATATGGAGAATTCGCAGATTTTTGACAGCCTACTACTGTTATCGCTTGGTACTTCGTACTCGCAGGACTACGTGTTGATAGATTTACCTTCATATATTTTTTAAAATTGTGGCAATATGGAAATTTTGTTGTCAGCCTGCTCTCACGCTCAAACGATTTGTACTGTTCAATTTTTGGCCGTTATACGTATTTGGTTTGGACAGTGATGTGCAACAACGACTGACTCTGATATTTTCTTCTTTAAATGTTCGGTCGATCACGCATTGCTTCAAACATAAACATAAAAGTCAATAAAGCGATGAAATTCGGAAATATTCATGATCCTAAATATAAATCATGCATACACGAAGCCGGTATTTTCTTAAATTCTAAGGAAAATCCCTCACTATGGCAGCATTGTTGCATTCTCCCACCATAAACTTGAACAAGAACAACCTGTTTTGGACCATGTTGCCAAGCGGCGTCAACGGATTTCAGATAGTTGAGCTGCCAGGATAAAAAATCATTTCCTGGTGGCCATGTTTTGTGCTGTTTGGCGCTCAAACATCTTAGTTATGTACATACCTGAAGTAGCCATTTTGTTGTGTAAGTTAATAAGATGGAAGGTAGTCATGTATTTTCATGCAGATCCTATACGAGTAGGTATATAGGGTGTCCCGAAATTGAAAGATAATCTTGCAATACTAGGTAGGTCACGTCATGGCTAACAATTGGTAAGATTTTATGTAGGTCTTGTTGTTTTCAAGATTTTCAGCATTCAATATAACAAAAACTGGCTTATATTTAGTTAATCTCGTATCGTTGCTACAAATATAAACTTTTTTGAACCAGATTTGTTTGTTCGGCATTATTCTTCCCCGGAAGGAATCACATAGAAGTCATGCCAAAGAGCCTGTAGAGTGAGAGGTGAACAGGTTGTCTAACTGTTGGCATTTTTTAAATGGTTTCATTGTTTAACGTAGTTATAATGGAGGAGGGTCAGTTTTAGTAAATATTAGAAAATAACAATTTATAGCTGGGATTCAATAGAAGGGACAGGATCGAAGTTAAAGGACAATTTCAGTTAAGATATTAATGAAATGAGCACAATTGACTATTATTCATGACCTACATTTGAAATATAAAAAAATTTTTATCATGCAAAAAATAACCGCTCGAATGCTCGAGGATGGTTCAACTTTGAATCTCAATTCTGTTACTGTGGTCCGCTTGGTATACAAATTCTCTAAAACAACCCCGATAAAAACTTTGATGGACTTAGGTCCAACGATCTTGGTCGGAATTAAATAAGGCCGCGTAGCCTGATCCACCTATATGTATGTTGCATGTTTGTAATTGAAGTCAGCATGTCTTGATCTGACCGACTTTGTCGTACCTGAGTATTATTGAGTATTAGTACGTTGCATCAGATCCTAATCAAAATACTCCTCCCTGCAGATGCGAAGATACAACCAGGACTTGATGTTTCATGCTCATTTAAACATCTAGTAGCATGGTCTCAAACTGGCAAGCTCAAATGAATGCTAAAAAAGCGGATCTGATACCTTGGAGGTTTGTATTTTTTATAGTTAATAGTCGTTCAGTGCATCTTGTTATTTGTATTTTGAGCTTTCGCATTGGGCTCTTATGACTTCATAATGATCACTTTTTTCTCTATGAGGAAGTTTTTTTTTTAATTTCCAAATCTGTATCGGCCTCGCCTCGCCCCCTATATTAAATTTTGTTATGTCAAAAGTTTCATAGTTTTCGTATGGAATTGATACTCGTCAGGTAGAATTGTTGTTCAAAATATTCACAATTGATTGTTTCATCAAAACCAATATAGTGGTTTTCTGATGTAGCGAAATCCTCATGAAAACTTTTCAAACGCAACATTTTAATGATAACCAAGAATCAGCGTGTCAAATACTTTAAATTGGATTTTCAGAATCGTACCGTTTTCTAACATTTTGTTGGCTATTTTCTCTTCACAGCAATTTTATTGGAGGATCGTCTTGTTCCTCGAATAGCAAAAAACAAAAAATTTGTGTCCTAGGAATGAGGAATAAATTGATATTGTAATTGTAAGTTCTTATTGCAGTCTCTCGGTGTTGGAAGTGGTCACCGTTGGACCTTATCATGGCCTTCACTCTTTAATAAATGATTTTTTAGTTTCTTAAGAGGCCCATATGATTTTCGCACCTACCTGTGTTAGAGAAATCACAGCTTAGATAAAAATCAGCTACAAAACTCTCCTATCACTGTCAAAAACGGTCGCCATTTCGGCGGAAAAACTCGAAAATAAATTCCCCCAGTACAATGATGAAAGAGGGTTTAGTGCGCAGCAGCAGCCGGTGTTGCCACGTACCCTGACAGAGGCCGCAAATATTATTTGCAATCTTAAAGACTATACTATTCCGATATGATGTTTGTGTGAACCCATCATGAAAAGAAATATCTGTGTCCAAAAAGAAACAACGAAGTATTGACGACTATTTATTTATGAAAAAATAATTACTTTTCCCATGTATTCTTAGCTGCTGCGATATTCTCAATCCGTTACAGTTTCAATGTAAACACTGTTAAAACACCGCATTCAAACCTGATACTTCTGAAGACGACTCAGCTAGGATGCTTCTACATACACGCCGAGTTTTTAATGTGTAGGTGGTCGATAGTTCCGATATATTAGTTAGTTATAGAAATTGTAGGCAATTATACGTTCCTGACTTGGAATATATACCTATATATAATTACATGTGATGACAACACATACATTTCTTAAATGAATTCGTTTGGAATGAGTGAGGAATAAAACAATATTTGAGCAAAATGGTTAAGTTTTACTGATGAACAATGTTTCTTAAATCTCTCGTTCAAATGCTTTTGTGTTCTCGTTTTTCCCGCGACAATTACATCGAAATTCTTGTGATTGAGTGAAGGTTGTACTTGTCTGGTGCTATTAGCACTGCTTATATTGAAAATGCAATGGATTGATTATATCGCAGTAGCGTAGAATATATAGCAAAAGTAACTATTTTTCCGTTTATTGTAAATACTTCCACCATCACAAACTTTTTTGAAGCTCTTCCATAAATAAATAGTAATCCGTCGATTTTTGGTCAAACATACTCCTTTTTATTATTGATTCACGCAAACTACACTAGATCATATCGAAGTATCTACTATCTTTCCAGGATTGCCAATCTGCGGCCGCTGGCATGATACGTGGCAACACCGGCTGCTACTGAACACTAAAACATCTTTCATTGGCAACTAGAGCTATTCACGCGCGATTTTTTCCGCCGTTTCTGACCCTGACAGGAGAGCTGCTTCATAGCTAAGCTGTGCAGAAATCAGCTCTGTTTGATAGACCTTAGCTTTAAGGCAATCCCAATATAAAAATTCAAACGACTTCGGTCCAAAGATCTTAGTGGTCAATGCGTAGGATGAAATCGTCCGATCCACTTTCCCGTATAATGTTGATTTAGGAGTTGACGGACAGACCGAGAGTAGTGTGCTAGGCAACCGTGCCGTTGTAGCCATATTTCTCGCCATATCCATGTTACCACATCTTCCAACATATTAGGCAGCCGGTTTCTTAGGAAGTCTAAGTAGGTTCCCCGTTCCTGGTAATTCCTATGGGCCAATCACCTTCCAGTATCCTAGTCCACAGACGTAAACTGTGCCTGGGAAAGATCTTGACGTATTGCGTGGGGATTCGCCATTTCCACAATGCAAATTGTGAATACTTAAGTGTTCAAGTCTTTTATGCTCTACTGAATATAATAAAAAATTACTACCCTTTGATACTGCAGAAACTTGAGGAACTTAAACTAAAATAATGAAATTTTTAAAGTATTTGGCAAGTAATCCTAGCCCATTTTTTGTCACTGCAGGGTGTCAAAGTGAGACATACATTGGTTTTCATTGGGATGTTGCACTAGATTAATTCTCATGTGTATTTCGGTTTAACATAATAAAACATCACTGATTTCCATTAAGCAGTCAATTGTGAATATTTTGAAATAAACCCGGATAAAAAACGATATTTGTAGAAATAACAACGATTTAACCAGACTAGCTAAACAAATTGATTGCAGAATATTTCGAAAAAGCTGCACTGTTGCATGGAGTTTTTTCTTGTTAGCTTAGAGCAATCAAGGTCTTCAATCCGAATATTGTCTGAAGATCTTAAAGCTACTACACACAGTGCCGGCGGCAATGCCGCCGGGTTTATGCGGAGCGGCTATGCCGTCGGCAATACAAGCCACCGGCACAAGCCGCGCAAAGCCGCCAAGCATCATTCCGGTTGTGTGACAGTCACATAGAACGCTAGTGAAGTGCATATTTTATGGCTGGTTGGTTAAAATGAATAAGGAAATCATCAGCACAGCCGCCGCAGTTGTAATTTTTATTTTAATAAGAAAAAATACAAAAGGACGAGAAGGATTTGGTTGCACCCAAGTTTACAAAATAGAAAATGGCGGAACGGTACTGTAATGATAGAAGAGTATAAAAAAGATGATGTGGGGTGTCAGCGTTTGCGCAATAGCATGTTTTTTGGGTTTCTGTACATCGTCTATGCCTGCACCAGATTTGTGCAACTGTTCGAACTTCTTTTTTTCCCGAAAATAATGAGAGGTTAAATTTTTTAACTTTCTCTCTACTTCGCCTGCGTCCATTCGTTTGTTCCTATTCTTATAGTCTGCATTTCTGGGATTCCATAATATATCATTTTCATGAAATTTTTCAATTAAGAGCAGCACAGCTTCGTCGTCCCAATTAAACGACATTTTAATTTGTTTAAACACACAAACCGCTCGAATGCCAGGAACGAAGTGACGCCGGCAAGCCGCGTAACCCGCCGGCACACCCCGGCGGCTCCTTTGCGCGGCAAGGCCGGCGGCTTTGTATGCCGCCGGGTGTACGGAGGCTTAGCCGGCGGCTTGCCCGGCGGCCTTGCCGCCGGCACTGTGTGTAGC